GGGGGGTGGGAGAGGTCTCAGCGAAGGTGAGCGAGGTGTGTGTGTGTGTCGCGTGTTGCGTGTCTTGTGTGTGTGTGGGGGGGGCAGCCTACCGTCGGGGCTTCTGGGACCCCTCCTGAGGTTCGCTCAGATTTGCATTGAGCTCCCCCCGCCCCCAATGCCATGCCCTCCCGGCCATTCACCAGGGGTCATGGCAGAAGGGGCAACCCCCCCCCCCACCCCACACACCCTTGGACCCATTCAAAGTCCGAAAAGGAGAGGGGTCTGGTTAGAGGTGGGGGGGGCAGCCTACCGTCGGGGCTTCTGGGACCCCTCCTGAGGTTCGCTCAGATTTGCATTGAGCTCCCCCCGCCCCCAATGCCATGCCCTCCCGGCCATTCACCAGGGGTCATGGCAGAAGGGGCAACCCCCCCCCCCACCCCACACACCCTTGGACCCATTCAAAGTCCGAAAAGGAGAGGGGTCTGGTTAGAGGTGCCTTTGCCACGCAAAGCCTCTGTGGTCTGAGGCGCTGGCTGGCCGGCCTCTTCCATGCCACAAAAATAAACGGAGGTTGGAGGGGGGAAATGCATGGCTGGAGGACCTCAGGGTTCCCCATGGGCACAGCCCCTTTCTGCAGGCTGCTTGCCCGCCTGCTTGCCCTTTGTGCACCTCCTGGGGGAGGGGGAGTTTGCTGTAGCCAGGAGGGGCTGCTGCAAGGGGAGCCCCCCCCCAGATCCTTGGAATCCCATGATGACTCACTGGGCTGTCATCCCCATCTGTATTCTGCCACCCTTGCTCCACCAGAGCTGGAACTTGGAAGCTTTTGGCCTCTGATATCAGATCAAGTCAGGAGTCATTATAGCTGCAGGGTAGCGCACCTAAGTTAATGTGCAGCACGGCAAATTGACATTCTACAATAGGACTCTTAAGAATGGGGGCAACCCAAACTAAAAATTACTGGATTTCAGGTCAGCCACATACTTTAGCTCAGATGTAGCAGACAGTCTGCCCTTGCTCTGTGCCAAATTTGGGAAAGATTGGGCAAAGGGTTTGTGAGTTACATTTTTTTTAGAAGCAAAACTGTCCTCTGTGCAGAGACTAATGGCCCTGAAAAGTCCCCAGATTTAAAATATACAAATGGAAAAGACCAATCTTGCTTATCTTGAAAGAGAATGGTTTGATCCCACTAGGTTTTAATTTTCAGTTTGGAAGGGATCCAGGCTACGTGGGCTGAAATATTGATCCTCAAAAAAGGCCTTTCAAATGAGAGAAACAGCCGCTTCTTCTTTGCTCTCGCAAAGAACTGTCACTACGAGAGACCTGTTTTCTTGGGTCTCCCAGCACCACTCCATAGTCTGTTAAATGACTTCCCAGAACCCCACTGGCCAGGGACAAGCCAGGGTTCCCTCCATTCCAGGATTGCAAAGGAGGCCGTAGCTGTGCTTCTCCTGCTGCCTCAGTTGTCTGGTGTTGGCTTTTCATTGACAGTATGGATCTGCCCACCCGAAGCTGGATGCAGAACCACGGTGGATCTCCTGAAATGACAGAGTCGTGTTCGCCATTTGGGGAGGGCCGAGGCCTGTGTCATCTGCGCAGGATTGGCATCCGAGCTCCAGTTCCCAGTATTGCTGACGTGATCCAGTAAGTAACCTGTAGTGTGTCTGCCCCATGGAGGTCTCTGCCCCTCATGCTGTGTTCAATGGCAGAGGCAGAAGCACTGAGCTGCAGGGAATGTGGGTCCAGAGATAAGGTTCTCCAGCCTGCAGGACCCTTCATCTTCCTGGCAGCTGCTCTTTGCAAGTATCAGAGGTGTGCAGATTTCTGTTTGTGGGAAGTCTGGGTGTTGTGTTCCAAAAATACAAATCTGCACACTATGAGACCTACTAAACCTCTGATCAGTGGTAGGAAACAAGAGGCTTTTTAAAACCCAGGCATCTCAATGCTGAAGATGTAAAAAGGAACTTATATGCATATGTGGTGGACATGTGAAATAAGAAAGAAAGAACGGGAAGTGGTTTTTAAAGAAATTAGAGAAATTATTGGACATAATCTTCAAAATCACCAATTAATGCCCTAAAAATATAATTAACAATGACCATCTTAAAAAAGAACAGAAAGAATTAATTATTATAATAGTCACAGTAGGAAGATTAATATTTGCAAAGGATTGGAAAAGTGACAAACAAATTAATCTTGAAGATTGGTACAAATAAATGTGGAGCTTAACAATTAATAATAAGCTAACATGTGAAATGAAAGTAAGAAGGGGAATGATAAAGTATCATTTCGGTTTTTAATTCTGAGGATAACCAGATCATATCTATTCTTGACCAGGATTTATGCCTGTTTGAGTAGAAGGTAAATTGAGAGTTTTGAGTATTTGTTTCTCTCCATATGTCTTGTAATCCTAGATTTTCTGCCATCAAAGAAAATTTTTGGAAGTCTTTTTCTTCTCTTTTCCCCCCTTTCTATCACTTTTGTAGTCAAACCTCTCATCTACAATTGCATTACTGTCTTCTAGGTGGATACGTTGCTATCATCAAAATCTTTTTTTTTAGCTTATTGTTATTTTAACCATTAAGATTCTTCATCGTAATAGATATGTTTGGAGTTTAGCGTTTCTTTCACATATAAAGCTACCTCTCTTTTCTTTTGTTGTGCAGCTGAGTAAGTAGAGGTTCCAAATCTTTGGGTGAATCAGATACAGTATTTGTTCTGCTGCTTTTTAATGTTCTTTCTTGAAGACAGATTATATCTGTTTTAGCTTTTTGTAGTTTTGAAAATACATAATTCCTTTTTCTTGGTGCATTCAGGCCGTTGATGTTCACTGAGAAGATCCCAATTTCGTTCTCCATATTGTTTACTTATATTTAGGTTTTGTTGCCCTGGTATTTCTTTTTTCTCTTTTTGTTTTGTTCAGATCTTGTCCAATGGTCCGTTCAAAGGCTTTCAATGGAGAAAACAAAAAATCACCAAAAATTAACGACGACTCAGAACAACACCAAATTAAGGTTGCATAGGGTTCAGGAGGTGGACTAAGGATTGCAAGCATTAATCTGTTCCATTTGGAATGAATTAACCGGTTTTCAATGCATTCCTATGGGAAATGGTGTTTCACTTAACGATGTTTTCCCATAACGATTTTTTTAATGGAACCAATTAACATCGTTAAGCGAGGCACCACTGTATATCAATAATACCTTGTCATCTATAGTCATCAATAGTACCTTATCATCACAGTTCTATATTCAGCTTATAAGTTCACTAATAGAAGACAGGGGGCCACTTCCAGAGCTATCTAGTATTTTCTGCCTAGGCAGGCTACTAGTTTTATAATTTTACAATTTAACATAACAGAGCTTGAAAGATTATTTCCACTCTTTGCTAGCTGGGTTAAGGTCCATTTCAGAATTAATTATACAGTCGTGCCCCACTGGACGATTACCCCGCTCTACGCCGAATCCGCTTCACATTGATGCTTTTGTGATCACAAAACGATGTTTTAAATGGGGTTTTTTTGCTTTGCAATGATCGGTTCCCTGCTTCGGGAACTGATTTTAGCTTTATGATGATCAGCAAACAGCTGATTGTCGGGTTTCAAAATGGCCACCGGCTGAAGAAAATGGCCCCTCGCTGTTTTCTAGGACGGATTCCTCGCTTTACAGGCACTGAAAATAGCGACCGTATGGAGGATCTTTGCTGGACGAGCAGGTATTCAGCCCATTGGAACGCATTGAACGGTTTTCAATGCGTTTCAATGGGTTTTTAAATTTCATTTGACGACGTTTTCACTCTACAGTGATTTCGCTGGAACGAATTAACGTCAAGCGAGGCACCACTGTATATAACTAGTCCAAGAGGGAACTCCCAAAAATGAAAAAAGAAGACGAAGAGAGAAAAGGAATGAATGAATGAATGAATGTTTGGCTGTTGTAAGGTCACTGCTAGAAACATCTACTGTTATGTAATTCTATGATTATTCCAAAACACAACTCCCCCCCAAAAAAGAAAGAGGAGAAAAAGGAGCGATATTTAAAGGTTTTGTTTTTCCAGGGTTCAGTTCTTGAAATTTTTACAGTTCAGTTCAAAGTCTAAATTCACACAACGCATGTATCCAAATTTGACCGGATGGTCTAGAGTCTTTAATTGTAAATCCCGCTCAGTCAAGTGCCATCAAGTTTCTTATTTACAATCCAAAAGTTAATTGTCTATAATTGTCTGTAGTTAATTAAAACTGCAGCTCCCAAAGAAAAAACAACCAGACTTTAAAAGTATATTAGCTGATCAAAGGTCACTGCCAGAGATATCCATTGCTCTTTGTCTGGGCTCACCGCCAGTTTGACAGTTTAGATATAAGAAAGTTTCAGAGTTTGGTCGTTGTGGGTTTTTCGGGCTCTTTGGCCGTGTTCTGAAGGTTGTTCTTCCCAGTCTCTGTGGCCATGGGCATCTTCAGAGGACAGCACTCTGTGCTCTGGTCAAAGTTTGCCTCCACTCTTTAATGGCCAGAATGCTGATTTCCTTAGTTCCTGATCTCCATTTATACAAAATCAAAAAACACCCATTACAAATGCAGTTGAATATTCCGTGGGATAGATTTTTGCCCTTGCCTCCCCTTCAGGGCAGCGGATTGCTCCTTTGTTTTGTTTTTCTGCCACTTTCCTTTCTCCAGCTAGGGGAACGGCTTAGAGTTCTTCTTTTCTCTTAAGGAGTTATTTGGCCAGGAGTGTTGATAGAATTAGTAAAACAAAAAGAAAAATATTCTCACCCAAGTTGATAACGCGAGGTAAAACATCCAGAACTTAGTGCTTACTTCTCCGGCAGCCGATGCCTTGGACAAACCGCAAGCAAGCAGGCGGCTTGTTTTATCCTGTTGGTTTGAGGAGTTTCCCGAATCAAATGAAGACAAATGCCGTTATCTTCATGATCTACAGGTATCTGTTACAGACAGCACTGATGTTACCTGTCTGTCATGGGTTTGGAGGGAAAGTTCCATCCTATGGGGAGTGGAAGGCGGGACATCAGGAGGAGGGGCTGTACTGTATATATATGTGGAGCGTGTGTGGTGAAGTTCAGCAGACGCTGGGAGAAGAAGCAGCAGCTGGGAAGAAGAAGCTGGTGTGGGAGTCTGTGTGTCAGACAGGGTACTACTGTGTGTCAGTCAGTACCAACCTGATAGGTTCAGGGGTCTGTATGGTTAGCCAGAACTGATAGGTTCAGGGTCTGTGCTTTATTTAAGAGTGTTCTGAGTGAACCAAACTGGTGTATGTATGATTGAGACTAAGCCACGTTACTGTATCTTATTCACTTGATCATTTTATTTTCCCTGTGTGTTATTTAAATAAACCTTATTCCTTTATTTGTTAAAAATCCATTCCTGGTCTGTGTGACTCCTTACAGGGAATGGTTGGTGGCAGCTTAGTGAAACTGTGGCATCCTCCAGTAGGTCTGGGGTTGTCACAGTATCTTTCCCCTTACGTGTCACCTCTCCGGGGTGACTTAAGCCCCTTGGGGCTCCCTAGCAGGCCAAAAAGCACTCTCGGGGAGCAGAGTTCTGTCTCCCTGTGACTGTATTGTCACGACGTTGAACCGGAAGTCCTCTGGAGTATGTCATTTTGAAAGGGAAAGGTAATAAGCCAGCAGAAGAATCAATGTATTTTTGGAGTAGAACAGGGTGAAAAGTATTAAAATGATATTTTTGGTTACCTAGTCCCGAGGATGAGGGTGGCACAGGTGGGAAATTCTAATTGTATTGCATCCGTATAGGCATTTTATGTTATTTTATTATTATTATTCTCTAATACATTTTTAAAAAACCCAAAAAACCCAGGCATTGAGCCCAGGAAATTGTTGTGTGGAAGAGGTTTCTGCATTGGAGAATATTCCCTTGTGTAGCCGTTCTCAACTTTTTTATTTTTTAACTACCACAGCCATAAACACAATATGAGAGAAACAGGTAAATCAGAATTGAATAACTTGCATATGGTGGTGTGTGAATTGTTTCTGGTCTCTGCCCCCTCTTCAAAAGTGCCACACATTCCCAAGAGCCATATGGGCCCCGTTGAGAGAACAGCTGCCCTAGTGAAATGGCTGGAATTGAGTAGAGATGGGCACTTCATATGTGTATCTTATGGATATGGATACAACCCACTACACCACAGATGCCGCGGGGGCCTACTTCCACCCCCCAAAATAGTCCAGGCCACTCACCGTGTGGGCTCCGCGTGACACTGGGACCCTCTGTCAGTGGCAGCAAGCCAATTCCAGCAGGAATCCGTCCAACGCTTCTCCGCCTCCCCACACAGCTGACCACTTTGGTGCAGTGGCAGTATGGGGAGTCTCCTTACTCAGCCAATCAGTGGTCGACTGCATGGGGAGGCAGGGAAGGGCCAGCTGGGCTCCTTTTTGGATTGATGTGCCACCACTGACAAAGGACCCCAAGGTCTTGCGGAGCCCCATGAGTGGCCTGGCTAGTTCTGGGGGGACGGCATCGGGCACCCTTCATGCCTCTGGTTCCGTGGGTTGTATTTATTTATTTATTTATTTATTTATTCATTCATTCATTCATTCATTCATTCATTCGATTTTTACCCCCTGAGATATGAATATGAAGTGCCTGTGCCTAGAAGTGAGTTCTGGGAGACTGTTGCTCCTTTGGGGGTGATGACTGACTAGATGGACAGAGGGTGGAGTGGTTTGTCTTAGGGTGGGTGGGGAAAAGTTCAAACCGGTGCAAATTCCCCCC